TTGAAGATTTACCACTGTCCAGATGTCGTTTGAAGAAATATTGTTTATTGGAAATTGTAATTAAAGGGGCGCTTCGATTGTCTAGAGAAAAGTATACACAGTGAAACAGCTAAGACTAGAACCTGAAATATCTTCGAAACTGTGGATTGTACCGAAAAGTGTTTCAGACAAAAGTTGAATGGTATCTAAGGAAGACAAAATTCGATGTGATTTGTTTTTCTGTTAGGCTGGTGCGTAGAGGAGATGTGAATCTCAATTCAGCTCGTCATTCCCTATAAATAAGTTAGCGTTTAATATATCAGCATATACACTGGCGTTCGTAAGTATTAGGACACCCAGTACGTTTCTACAGAAAGTATTGTACAATTTAAATAACATTTATTTGCCAAACTTAGTATTATATCTTATATCATGTAATTTTTTCGAGGATCTTAATAATTCTGTAATGGCTGTTTAGGATTGTTTCACGTTCAGCAAGTATAGAAATTCACTAAGGTACGAGATAATATGATAAATGAATTTTTCCAGATTTTAATAATATTTGAAAGTACGGTAATATTTTACTTACATCTTGAAGCTTATAGTCCTTGGACATCAATGAGAAATTGAAGAAAAGAAAACCGTCAGAATATTACAGTAAATGGTGCGAGTAACTTTTCATCGATGGCGAACATTCGCCACTGTACGAGCAAACATGAAAGAAAATGCTACGAAATCAACCCAAAATTAAGTCGACGAATTTGCAAATTTTTAACAGAATCGAAATCGTTAAAACTTTAGCGTGAGCTCAAGAGACACTTTCAACGAGTTACTCAATTAGGGAACGCACACTGTCAGGCCATTATCTATAAATAGTGGAGAGTTTTCAGAGTGATGGTAGACATTCAATGGCGGCTCGTCCATAAGGACTGCAGTGCTTCTGACTATAAAATTAAAGTTCCCGTTTTCTTATCGCCGCTATTATTTATTACAGCATACACTGGAGTCATCCGAGCTCCGTTTAACCATTTCCTATTATCCGAGGTGTTTTGAACTTAAGGTCGATGGGTGTTTTGATAATAATAATTTACTTAATAATTTATTATTATTGTTTAATTGATAAGTAGTTAATTCAACTTAAATATTAAATTTTACAGGATCAAAATGTCTTTTTGCGATTGTATTGCACGATTTATGAACACCCATCGACCCTTCCGTATTATCCGAGATAGACTCGGTCCACATCACCTCGAATAATCAAGACTCTAGTGTATTTAAGAATCGTCGACATCGATGATGCCGTCTGCTTTCCGAATAATTACCATAAACCGGGTAACATAAAAATTAACATTTTTACATTTGTATCTTTTGTGATTGCGCTACAAGCATTGACAGCTAAAGTTTTACTAATCTGAAGTTACATTGTCACTGAAATTTCTTCCTTCTTATGTTCAATGCACTCTCTTTTATATTTTTCTATTTATTCGAACGACTAATGTATTCTTAAATTAATTAGCTTATTTATGCAGTTAAAGACAAAACGATTAGTTATTGTGATCTAAACTTTGATTTACGTATTTACATCTGAATTATCGAGTGTTCGAGTGTACAGCTGCCAATGTTCCCCCAGTTTACGGTACCTTTAGTTTCATTAACGATATCATTTTTTCAATCCACACTGATCCTTTTTATAATACCTTCATTGCTACAGCCTCGCCGCTACAAATTCTTAGGAACCCTCACTGTAGACCACATACACTACCGGCCAAAAGTTTGGAATCACATCCCACTTTTCATCAATATTAAATCTGGTGCTACGTTTATCAATTTATCTCGTATCAATTGATTCGAACGATAAAAAATTCTCAAAGTCGCTGACTTTTTTCTGGAAATTTTTGTGTAAATTGCAATGCTCAGCGATTCCAAACTTTTGGCCGGTAGTGTATGGACAACTCGCGGCCCGCGACTTCTTTTAGTTTGGCCCGCGATCCGTCCCCGCGAAGTCTTTAAATTCGGCCCTCTTGGTACTGATTAGTATCGTATTTAATTGCACAATTTTATTTAACATACTAGCGTTTTTTATCTAAGATTTAGCTAAAGTCGTATCAAACACATAATCACGTACAACATTACACTGGAGGTATTAATATGTTGACACATAAAAACACACGCGAAAACCCATTTACTTTGGCCCTTGACTCGGAGATAGAATGATAACTTGGCGTTAGAACCAGGAAATGTTGCCTATGCCTGCTGTAGACATTCGTTTTCTCGTTTTTCCTTAAAATACGGAAATCCTCACCAAGCCTAGAGCTATAGGTATCTCTGTAACGAGATAATCGATGCCATTACTTCGAAATTCAACGACACCGTAGATACGGAATATCCAAACGAGAGAATACAATGCACCGATTCTATAGCTGTATGCACGTCTGTGTTATTCAAATATACCTACTGTTCCCAAGTGATTTGTAAGACTGGTTAGCCGAGGAGTAAATTAATGAAAATCTTCTAGCGATGGTTAGACGTGGCGAACAGTATTTGTCAATCCGGAACCCGACTGTATTATTCTTGAATCGTAGTTTTGCTTTGCAAACGGTATTCAGAGCGGACTATTAACTCTTCGTCGTCCCATTTGTAATCACGACGTTGGCACGGATGTTTTAAAGCCGAAATCTTAGACGAAATCTCACCGTTGCGAAGTGGGAAAACGACGTTAAGCGATTTTAATCACACAATGGGCAATTGCGCTGAAATCTACGTCTGCATGCTGGAAATAACATTTCGTAGACGTTTATTGTACAGGATGTACCGAAACTTAGTTCCATACCTTTAATTGGCTGCCATTTTGGTGTAACGCAACGCTGTCAGTTGGTGTTTGACAGTTGTGGAGTAGACACATAGGAGATTTATTATGGATCGCTGCACAGTTCAAGAACGTGCGTTTATCGTAGAAACTTGTATTGCATATCAGTGTTCGCTAATGTTGTGTATAAAAAAATACGAGGAAAATTCGATCGAAATCGCGTGCTTGATGACAAAATAATGAAACATTTGACCGAGAATTTCCGGAAGTTTGATACTGTGACGGCTAGACCACATTCTGACCGTCCTCGAACCGGATTCTCGGCTGGAAATATTCGAAACGTGCGTGACAGTGTTGAACAAGAACCGAACACCTCTATCCGTCATCGTGCTCAGGAATTGAGACATTCAAGCACCGTTTTGCACCATATTTTAACCCTAGTCCGGTCTTTGGGTCTTTTTTGACCCATTGACTTCTCATCTTCTCAATAAGTTTTGCTGTTGTCAAGTTCGGGTTCTCTTAACGTTATGTTAAAAGTTTGTTGCGTGGGTTCTTATGGGGTGCTGGTAACGAAAATTGTTAGGCATATGTGCTTCGGGTCAAAAAAGACCCAAGAAGAAATACCGAAGACCTTTTTTTCATCCAAAGACCTTAAGTGTATAGTGGAAGGAAAGAACGCAATAGGGTTAACGATATATGTCGCGAAATTTCTTATCACACGAAGTGGACAAGTTGGGTCTAGAAAGCATGTGGTTCCAACAGTACGACACACGATACGAAGCAACTTCTAGAAGACGTGTTTCCAGGCCGCTTGAACTCCAAAAGTGGTAGCATCGATCGGCCGCCCAGATCGGTAGGCCCGATAGCCCCTGATTTCTTTCTCTGGAATTTCTCAAAGAGCAAGGTCTACGCTAATGAACCAACAACAATTCGGCAACATAAAATGAATATTAGTAAAGAAATTGCAACATTACTGCGAAACCATGAATCGTCATCTGGACGATATCGTTCTCCATATTTATTTTCCCCAATATAAGAATTTTCCTTCCATCAATTCCTTTGCGATTATTTAAATTTTTAGTCTAAAAATTTTCTCGTACCACCATAGCTAGATAAAATAATTAGGTGGCCTGTTTTACGTAGCTCACTCTGTATATGTTTAACAAATTATAAATTATTCGATCTTGATGCTACTACTTTTTTGGACCAGCACGTTTCACAAAGAAAGATTGGATAACTAAACGCGTGCTTTTATTTGAATGCTTCATTAGCAAAAACTATGTTTAGAAAAGTATGAAATGTCAATTGGAGGAATTTAGGAGAAAAATTTGACGAATTTCAAAGTGTGGTACGTAGGATGGACTTTTCGCTCGACGGACTTCGAGTCACGTTCTGGCTTACGGAGTTCGGCGAGAAGATGCAAGAGAAGGAAACGGGAGGGCTGACAGAGGAGAAGAAGAAAAAAGCATTTTAGGTCGAAACGTCGAGCGAACGGCCCGTGTAATTCGGTTCCGTACGATCGAATTCACTTTGGCTCTGAATGGGACGGCACGCCAAATCTCTCGCAAAATTTCATTAGGACGAAAAGAGTTCACGGAATGTAATCTTGTAGGATTTTAACTGTTGTCGTGTTTTTCCGAATGACTTTGTTTTGTTTTGTTTGCACGATCAATGAATGCTTTTGAATAAGTTTTATGTAATCGGTGACATGAACGAATGATTCGTGAATTAAATTACGTACATCGAATGAAGATAGAAGGATGAGTAATCGGGTATACTTCAGCGGTTTGATCACCTTAAAATATATTGTCAAAGTCATCATTTTGGACAACTTTTCCCTATACATATTGCCACATATTACATATTTCCCTATACATATTACCTTAGTTTCTGAGTTATTCACAAAACACCTAACCTAAACCTAATCTATACTTAACTGATTGAGGCTAATCATATTTAACACTAGGTTTACGGACATTTCTTATATACCTATCTCTACGGACACGCGTTAAATTGACACGTGAATGAAATCGCATATTTTCTTCCAAAAGCAACTTATTTTATTTAAAAACAACATATTATACACTATTAACTTACAAATGAACGATAATACGAACAATATAGTTGTATAAAATTTATAAATAAGCATAAGTGGTAGGAGAGAAATGTAAACGGTTTCTGTAATTTTCCTAGTGAAATTCGAAATACGTCAAAATCACGCGTCCTGTAAACCTAGTATTAATATAAATAAAAACAGATAAATCAATGAATTATATATTGGGTTAAATTGATATAGGGAGAAGTTGTTCAAAATGATAACTTTGACAACATATTTCAAGTTCAAAATCGGCGAGGTGCACCTGATTCCGAATAATTATCGAAGGACGAGTCAATAAATAAGTCACTGCCTAATGGAGGAACAGTTATTAGGTTGTCCGGAAATAAATTGCGTTTTCTGTACATGAGATTTAAACACGTGTAGTTTTGCTTAGAATGAATTTATTTAACCGAAATAATTTTCATTAGATTCTATACACTTTTTCCAACGTTTTACAAGAGTTTCTATTCTATTCCAATAAAAATCAGGAGTTCTAGAATTAATAAATTCCACGAAGGTATTTACAGCATCCTCTTTATCGCGGAAGATTTTTTCTCGCAAAAAGTTATCGAAATGTTTAAAAAAATGGTAATCTGTAGGGGATAAGTCGGGGCCCTTACGATTTACCAAACTTGGTTGTATAACAAATAACTTTTTATGCATTTCTTCCAGTTCCTTACAATATTTTTCTGAAGTAACAGTTTCATTATTATTTGCTCTTGACCACCAAACTGTCACCATAACTTTCTTTTGGTGTAACTTTGGTATCGGGAAGTGCTTTGGAGCTTGATCGTAGTCTAGCCACTGAGCTGAACGACGGCGATTATCATACAGGATCCACTTCTCATCGCACGTTATTATTCGATGAAGAAATGGTTCACTTTCGTTTCGCTTAAGGAGTGCAGAGCAAATTTCGAATCGACGACTTTTCTGCCCTTCGTTGAGTTCATGGGGAATCCATTTATCAAGCTTTTCCGATTTTCCAATTTCCTTCAAGTGATTAGATACAATTGTTTTACTTACATTTAGATTTTCTACAAGTTCTCTCACAGTTGTACACGGGTCATCTTCGACATACGCTTTCAGTACATCATTATCAATGGCAGAAGGCCGCCCCCGACCTTCTTTATCTTCGAGACTTTCATCACCATCACGAAATATTTTAAACCAATGTTGAACAGTACGTTCACTAGTTGTGCTTTCACCGAATACATGATTGATATTGCGGCCAGTTTCCGCGGCTTTACGTCCTAATTTAAATTCATATAACAATATGGTACGAATTTGCTTCTTCTCCATTGTTACGTTTTTATGTTATACTCAGAACAAATGACGGTAAAAAACAAAAGTGTATCGCTTATATGATAGAGCGATATCTACACGTTCGAACGGTATATTACTTAATAAACATAAATTTAAAATATATCGTATAGAAAAGCCGTAAATAAGGCATAACAGAAAGCCGCAATTTATTTCCGGACAACCTTATAACTTGCTTAGCTTATTGTTAAACGTGAAAGCATCTATGAATAGCCATGTATGTAAAAGCAAATGATCCGGAGAATTCAATAGAAAAGTGGTATCTCTTCGCGACAATGTTCGACCAGATTCTGCGATTGTGACACAGATGATGTTGCGTAAATTTCAATGGGAACAATGAGAATATCTACTTTATAGTCTGGACCTCTCACCACGCAATTTCCATGTGTTTGACCGAATGAAAGAAGAGACGACTGGGAAAGATTTCAGCATGGATGACAAACAGAAGGAAACAACTTTAAAATAGCTACGAAATATCGGAGGCAAACTTTATCAGAATTAGAAAATTGGTTCTTTGTTGCGATTAGTATTTATAGATATTCGGTGACTATGTTGAGAAGTAGTAGCTGGCTGTCAGTTTACGTTGGTAATAAATAACTTCGGTATTCCTGCATTGGTGCAACGGAAAAACAGAGACAAAATCGTAAATATTAAGTTTCTTTTGGAAAATGAAATTCAGAAAATCAGACGAAAATAAAGGAATTTAATAAAACGTAAACGAATGTCTCTAAAATTAAATTGATTTTAACGACGGAGAATTTTGTCAGGCCCAATGCAACATATTGAAAAGTTGACATTTTTGTTATACCAAAATCTCAGAGGAACGTGTTATTATGAGTAAGGTATGAAAGTGATACTTAATCTTAATAATTTTAATATCACCGTTGCATGGCGCTAATTGTAAAATAGGAGAAACCAAAATATTGAGCATTTTATACTTGGGAAGAGGAATTGAGAAGAAAGTAACAAAGCTCAAGTTGCTAACAACGACGTTACTTATTAATAAGAAATTTCAAAGGTAACGCTTTGGAAACGGATATCCCTAAAAGTCGAAGAACGCCTGAATGAAACAGAATTATAGATAAATTGGAAATAGAAAACAATCGCCACAGGAAACAGTCGTTGGTACACAATAGAAAAATAAATATGTACGTCTTACATAAATTGTACTCCTGAAATGAATGAGCTTGAGTAAAGTCAAAGCTTCTTCGACGTTGCTCTCGAACGATACCGAAATAACTCATTAACAAGGTGAATTTATTGCAAGTATACAGTGACTGTCACTTAAAATCGTACACCTAGCGGTTCAACCGTTTTTTTTTTTTTTTTTCAATAAAACATGAAAATTCTACCAAATGACATATAGCAAAACTATAACAAAATGTTTAGTAATACTTAGTAAATTAGATAAAATTTGTCATTACGTATGAAACTTAGCTGTGAGTGAAAATCGTACAGAAAGGATTAGATACATTTTTACAATAACATGTAACATAAATAACTCGTATTCATATTTTGCAGGGTAAACCAAATGCATTTTCAACACGTTTTAGTCGTCGAGGAACTGATTTTACCAAATTTTCACAAAATTCGGATTGTTAGGGATTGGATTTATGAGATGGACGCCTGTTTACGCTATTTTTGAATGCGCCCCTTTTCTTCTTCGCGTTGATTAATTTTTTCTTTCAAATTGGCTACGAAGCCCAGGAAGCGTTTTATGGCTGCAGAAAAATAACTTTTCTGCGGGCCATATACCTTCCCGGTGCCCACTCGTGAACATTCAATAGACATAGACATGTCATAAAACCTCTCGCGTCTCCCTGACCGCCCAAAGTCACGTTGGAAGCTACCCCTTGGGCCTCACTCCCCCGTCATCGCGACATATCACCATCCTGCCAACTTGGAAATTCCAGGGTGGGCGGCATGCTCGCGGGCCAGGGAGGACCGTCCAAGGGGGTAGACCCGTTCGCGGAGACCACCACCTTGTACCCCTAAACCTTTTTATAAATAAGCACACCAAGGCGGCGCACATCAGATCAAAAAGGGAAAATAGACAAACACCACATAAACTACCACTCTTCAAAATAAAGTCTTTTTCTTTTAACATAATAAAATACGTGCAACCTCACCACACCACGACTTCATACCAGCAAATAACCCGCACCACGAACCAGCGACAATCCTGCGCCACCACTCTCGGACATACCGCTTGTTCGAAGCGCACGACGCAACACGGGTGTTACATTTAACCATTCCTCTTGTAAAGCTTTCCCAAGACTTTCCTCATTGGTGTATTCGTATTTACCTGTCTAATTCGTTCCACACATCTTCAATTATATTCGTATCAGGAGATTGTGGAGGTGTCTGCAAAAAATCGGCCGAGCTGCCCAGGTGTACGATTTTAAGCGACAGTCACTGTATATAGGTACGCGAATCGAGCGAGGAATTTTACGAAAGATACCGCATTCGAAGTTGATAAGTTTGGAAGTAGAAAGGCTCGGTAACGAAACAGGACTAAATTGTACACGTGAAACAATCGCTAGATGGAACGTGTTCGTTTGTTTTCAACGTGTAACAGCGAAACGAGCTTATGGGAACTGGATGAGGTAAGGCTCGCATTAGACGTATGAGAGGCAAGAAGATGCAACAGGACACAATATATAAATGGTGCAACAACACCAGGCCAGGTCTACCGCCTGCGGCGGCGTTTCTTTCTAGTTCAAATAAAAACTCGAACAACCGTCCTGTTTGCCTCTTCTACATATGGAAAGAAAATTCTGCAACAGGAGGCAAACTTTACGAGGTAGTCGCACGTGAGAAGAAACGTGTGATTCATCTGACGAAAGCCGAACCGTCTGCCGCCTTCGCTCTGTTCTACCTCTCCTCTGGCCCCTTTTTATTAATTTTCTTCTCAACTCTCTTTAATGTCACCGACAGAGCTTCGCCGTCTCTACGTTGATGCCTCCTGTTTTTGTCTGAGGGCCTTTAATCGTACCGACGCCGGTAGGCTTGCAAACCTTCGTACAATCGATACAAAAGCATTGTTGAAGCATGACAATGACAGGGAAATTGCAACAAGAACAACTGTACAGACGAGATAGATATAACGTTTTCGAATAGATTTGAGAAGCAGAGAAGATGAACAGGAGATAAAAATGATTGTTTTTCTCTGTTTTAAATGATACCGTCCGATTTATGCCAAAGCCATAAATGTGCAATTTTTTTGAAAACCATAGAACGCGTAATTTCCATCAAATTCGGTTCTTTCTTCACTTGCACTGTTTTTGTTAGTTGGTAATTTGTTGTTGTAAAAGATAGTGTAACTATTTTTATGCAGATAAATGTAAGTTCAGATTACATCGTTGGACAGATATCAGCTTTCCACATGGAAAGGTCCTCTTTGTTAATAAAGTAGCCGGTATAATTTTCGTCATACGACATGTTTGTGGTAAATATTGAAATTGTTTGAAATTATCGATCGGAGCACATATCTCGCCATTTAAAATACTTTCTAATAGTAAGTTATAACTACAATTTACACTCTGAAGTGACGACTTCATTTGACTTGTAAATTGTACAATTTAAATTACAGAGCCAAAGCCGACTTTCTAACAGTCCGTAGAATTTGAAATGTTTTGCGACGTTTGCCGTATTAGTCGTTAAGGTTCCAACAAAAGACGTCTTCGCTTCATCGACCCATTCTCATCGATTCGAAGGAAAACCTTTTCGAGGCATGAACGCTTCGGTTAATTGAGACAAGTTTAGATTATAAATAGAGTTACCATACTTTTTTCATCACCATATCGAGACAGGTAGAGAAGAAAGGACAGAAGGAAAATTTTTTGAAAAAGATTTGATATTTCGGCGTTTTCCTTCCGTTCACTTAAACTACCCTTAAAAATTTTCCCTAGCTCTATCTATGCATCTTAAACGTTACCCTTCTCTCGATAATAATGATTTTTGCAATCTTATAGATATTAAAAGACATAGAATAACTCTTGTAAAACAGAAAATTTCTATTGAAAAATTTGTACGTAGTTCTTATTACAGGCACAGCGACGATTTTTAATGACATAAATATTGCGGACATATCTATAATACTTTCTTCTGCACAAACGTGTAAAAACGCCTTGAAGCGGGTCCGGCGCTTAAAGTGTTAAAATAACAAGGAGACAGAGAGTCGTCGCGAATCTATTTTAAATACCGGTTCGAAACAAAGCCATCCAAAAGTCGGGTCAGCGGTGACCCGGCCATCGTCGTCCGAAGGTTAAAAACTCTCAAAGAGAAACGAATTGCATGTGAAGGAACGCGTAGCCAATTGATCGGAAATGGAAAGAGAAAATCGACGATCGACAGTTCCTCGTCTCTGCCACCAATGACATTCTCACCACCCCCTATACGCGCGACAAGGGGTGACTGGTCACGTGGAGGGAGCAGGCGCGTTACGGAGGAGATGAAACGAGTCCCTCTGTTTGATCCGCAAACACTGTAATTGCCTCGAATATTATATTAGGTACGCGGTGCTGGATAAAAGGGGTGGCACGAAGAGAGAGAGAGAGAGATGTGGGTTGGTGGCACCCTGGTAAGCAACGTACATACACCCAGAACAATAATTTCTTTTAGTTTCACGGAAGGGAACGCAGCATGCTGTTTGTGGCAGGTAGGCATTAAAGAGTTGTGTAGTTTTTCTGCTGCACGCGTTTGCTTTCTGTTGCCCTTAGGCCCTCCTCCTTCAGCTCTCCTCTATCCACCCTGTAGACAGAGGCTAGGGCCAACCTTTGTTATCACGTGCATCGCGACTCGGTTTACGAGCGCAGTTCTCATATGTCGCCTCCGACTTCGTTTGCTTCTCTCTCTCTCTCTCTTTTCGTGAAACGTTATTCATTTACCCAGAGACCGTGTTTACATCAACGATGTATGCGCTTACGTAAAGCTCATTAGTCGACTGACAGATGATTACCATCGTCGTCCGTGC